GTAAAGCCAGACTGAACCACAAGGCAGGTGATTCAAGCTCACCAGCTGCTCCTTGGAAACCCTTGACAGTGTCACTATGGGTCGGAACCGACTCGACGGCACTTTACAACAACAACAACAGAGGTACGCTGGAATACACGCTTGGTTATCTGCTTCTCGAAGATCATGTCCTGTGGAACCCTATAAAGCACACAGGGCTCACCGTGACTCAAAAGCAACCCTATGGAAACTAACAACAAGAACACTTCCTTTTATGATAGGTTGGGATGAGAGGCAAGTTGCTCAAGGGATGCTGTGCTAATTGGTGTTTTGGACTTTAAGTGTTGCCATTTTGCCTGTAGGTAAGAGGAGATGGTCCTCATACAATAAGATTTGTGGTAAGACTACTACTGAGGAATGAATATTGTGGGTTCCAAAATTAGGAGAGCCTTTCCAGCTGTTTCAACCTGGCATTCTATGGAGCCATCACTTCTGCTCAGCTGAATCATTATTTTTAAGTAACCTTTGTTGAGTACCACTAAACATGCTGTCATAGCTAAGTAGGAAATCCAAAATTTATATTCAGTGGGGCATTAATGCTTGCTGGACCTCAAGTGCTGTTTATTACACAGTTTATCAGATGATACCTTGAGATCAAATGATTAGCTTTATCCCTGGAAAGTACCCAACTCACTCCCAGGGAGTAAGTCGGGCATTCTGGAAGAAAAGGTTAAATTTTACATATTATTTTTCTATATTAATTTAAAAAAAAAAAAGAAGCTTTATAAAAACTAAAAAGTTTTATTTATGTCGCATTGGATGCCTTGTCTTTGCAAAATAGTATAATTAACAATATTGTAGAAATATAACAATTTGAGGCCTTCTGCTCTCAAAGATTTACATCCATGGAAACTCTACCCTATATAGGGACACTATGAGCCAGAACTGACTAAACAGCACTTAACAATAGCAATAATTTAATATGTAATTCATACTATTTATAATATTACGTCTTTTGATTAGTACTCAGCCTTTTGAAAGTCACGCAGAACCTCAACGGCTGTAGAGGTAACATGACAATTAACCAATAGAGCAACAACATCTAAGAAGTTCCGAATTAAAGGTTTTGACAAAATTCACCCTAAAACCTTATTAAATTTATTCATGAGCATCAAAAGATTTCATCAAAAGTGTAAAAAGGGAGTCCACAGAATGGGAAAATTTTTTTGCAACGACATTATCAGACAAGGGACTAATCTCTAAAATCTACAGGAAAATACAACACCTCTACAAGAAAAAGACAAATAGCCCAATTAAAAACTGAACAGACACTTCACCAAGGATGACATTTGGGCAGCCAATAAATATATGAACAAATGTTCACGATCATTAGCCATTAGAGAGATGCAAATCAAAACAACAATGAGATATCATCTCATATCAGCAATAACAGTGAAGTTCAAAAAAGCAGAGGACAATAAATGCTGGCGAGGATCCAGAGAGACTAGGACCCTCCTACATTGCTGGTGGGAATGCAAAATGGTCCAATCACTCTGGAAAACAGTATGGCACATCCTCATAAAGTTGGAAATAGAAAGACCTTTTGAACCAGAAATTCCTATACTTGGTATATAGTCACAAATAATATGAGCCAGAAAACAAGTAGATATATGGACACAGTGTTTGCCATAGCGTTATTCACAATAGCAAAAAGAAGGTGAAAGCCTAAGTGCCCATCAATGAAAGAATGAACAAACAAATTTTGGTACATACATACAATGGAATACTATGCTATCTTGAAGAACAATGACTAAGCTCCAAAACACTTCAGAACATGGATGAAACTTGAGGACATTATACTGAGTGAAACTAGTCCCAAAAGGACAAATATTGCATAACACCATTATTGTAAAAGCTTAAAAAAAGAAGTCCCTAGTAAAAGAAAGAAATTCTTTATTGGTTACCAGGGGCAGGAGGGAGGGGACAGTAAGACACAGGTTAGGGGATAGTCACAGCATAGCTTGGGTGATAAGGAGGGTGATATCCAAGGAAGGGGAGGGCAATACACAAGAAGGGGGCAAGGAGTGGAAGAACAAGGAAGATATGGGAACACTTAAGTAGGTTTTCATTGGCTAAATGGGATAGAGGTAAGTAGTGATATATACTCAACTTTGGAACAACAGGGCTCTGTGATACAGAGATCGAGGCCTAGTCTGAATTGTTAAAAGAGGGGAAATAATGTTAAGGTGCTTGACTCTCTTGTGGACATTGGTTTCCCTAGCCTACTATTGTAAAATAGACATTTGAGTGGGATAGAAAGGAATATTGGGAAATATAGAAAGTTTGTACACCTGTCTTCTGCCTATAACTGATTGGAATACCTAAAATGGGTTCTAGAACTTGCCCAGTGAAACAGGCTTCTTGTGGAACCTTGTAGAGTATAGGGTCTTAGATGGAATCCTGAGCCCCATCCAGAACATTCTGAAACAGGACATTCCCACTTGAAAGGACATGCATACCAACATGAAGCAGAAAGAAGGTACGTCTTGAAAGAAAGACCAGTAGGGGGAAAGAAAAAAAGCCACACTGACTATTAGAAGAACAAGCAAGCTGTTTGCATGGGAACCATCAAGGCAAGACATCAAGGCCCTTTAGGATAAACCCCCTTCTAAGACTGAAACTCAAAGGGAACACATGAGCAGGTTTATAAGCTCACTGGTGACTGTGTTAGTCTACTTGTGAGTGTAAGTGGGGGAAACGCAGCGATGAAGACATGGGCTGAGTTTGACCATGTTCCATAGACTCCTGTTGACCTTGAGATAAAAGAGAGAAGAGGAAGGACTGGTTGGTCTGAAGTTTGGGAAGACTTGGGAACTCCTGAGCCCATGGACATTGACCTAGCCACTGGACTACAGCAGAAAATGAAGTGTCAGCTGATATGAAGTGAAGGGAGGCATGCAAGAATGCCCAAACTTGCAGATAGTACCCATTTGTCTTAACTTGGAGGATTTGATGATGAGAACTCGACTAGAGGAAGATAAAGAAATTTGATACAGGAAGCAAGTGTAAATTCCTATAATTTGATGACCTTGACCTATACTTATGGAGGTAGTAGCTCAAAATACCAAGAGGGAAGGAGCCTTCACATCAAGGATCAAGCCTACTACTCAGTACACACAGTTGATAGGGACTGGCAACATAGACATTGGCTACCTAAAATGAGGAGGAAGGGGCCTCTAAAGGTACAAAGTGACTGGCTTACAAGTTTTCAAGAAGGAGTTTAGTTTCAGAGAATGCGGGAGAAGGTAGAATTCCCACTGAATAGTTTTCATTTTGTCTAGATGGGTCTGGTGAAGGGGGAGAGGGATAGTATTCTTTTGATTCTATAATAAATAATTTTTATCATGACTAATTGCGATTGTCACAACTTTAAAGGTAGAAGTTGTGTAACAAAAAGGGGAGAGTAGTTAATCTTACATTCCAGGAACAGAGAACCCTAGGACCATCAGGAGGAAAGAGGATGAGTGGGACGTGGAATCCTACCCAAAGAAGCAGTGACACCAGAGACAGAGGCAGACGTAATGACATGGAGAGATAGAGCATCTGATTAGCAGTGTAGTGGTTACGAATCGGGCTGCTAACCTCAAGGTAGGCAGTTCGAAACTACAAGCAGTTCCGCAGGAGAAAGATGAGGCGGTCTGCTTCTGTAAAGATTTACAACCTCGGAAACCCTGTGTAGGGTCACTATGAGTCGGAACTGACTTCATGGTACTTAACAACAACAACACAACATGGAAACTGAAAAGCTGTGTGCTGGTGGCCAGGAGGCAGGCTTGCAGAATGTGCTCTCTTATCGATTCTATATTCCTGTGTGTTTTTGTGTACATATAAAATAAAATAAAAAACAAAGAGGGAACAAAAGCCAACATGTTAACTAATGACACATAGAGTGAATTGTAATCATTGCAATGAAACAAAATACGATAGGATGAGTGCAAAACCAATATTCTGCCATGTACACTATCACTGAGTTCACAATAAAAGCCTTTTTTAAAAAAGATAAAAGCCGATTTAATCAAAGATGCAGTGTCTCCATTTCCTTTTTGTATCTTGATTCAATTTCCAAATTAAATTTTAAAAAAGTATATTTCCAGATATGTTTTTGTAGAAGTAATTTGTGCAAAAACAAGTATTATGGTTATACATTTATTTTACATACCTAACTTTGTAAAGGAATCCTAGTGTGGCACTATAAGATAAGCACTGGTCTGCTAATCATAAGGTTGGCAGTTCAAACCCACCCACCACTCCTTGGAAACCCTGTACAGAGTCAGAAACAACTTGATGGTACATAATGACACACAAAAGCCTTGGGAGTCATATATATGCAAATATAACTTTTCAACTACAATCCAGAAATTTCTGTTTATTGGATGAATAAAGCAATTCCAATCTATCCTTTGTAATACATGCAGAATTATTGTTATCGGATTGTACTCTATTTTTAAGGCTGGCTTCCAGGGTCAATAAAAAGTACAAGGGGACCTGTTGCCAGGAAATTGACTAAGGGGGTTTAAAAAAGTTTATGGAAAAATGAAATGAAAAGAAAATGGAATTTTTCCACAAAATTTTGAAGCCCCCTTATAAGCACTTCTACGCATCTTCATGAAATAAGGTCTATATTTCACCTTCTATCTGCCAGATTTCCTCTAAAACAGCAGATACCATAACGTTTGGTAATAGACCCGGAAATGGCATTCTCCTGCAGCGTACCTACATGCACCTTGAATGGGGCCATATCATAATTTATTACAAATTACTTCTTCCTATCTGCAAGCTCATTCCTCCAGACCTCCAAGTTCACATTTTTCTTCTGTCTGGTGATTTCTTCCCTGCACTCAGAAAAGATCACTGTGCTAAAGATCAAGAGAGGATCTCTTCTTTGCTTTGAAAAAAGTGAAGATGTTTTAGACTCCCAAATGCAGAAGACATTTGAGCATTGTATTGTTTGGAGCACTTACTGTCTTCTTTGGTTATGAATGGAATCCAAGAGCTATGAGCACTGCCAAATCCATTGGAGGCAACCAGCCGAAACTTATACACTGTGTACGGTTGGAGATCTCTCACTTCATAGCTTAATGATGCAGAAGGACTGGAAAATAACTTATTTGGGGAAGAGAATGCTAATTAAGAAGTTTCAGACATTCAAAGAGATAAAAAGACAACCAAAATCTCATTGCAAAGGTTTTTCAGAGAATGTCAAGATATATTTAAGTGCTTCAATTTTGTGTTGTCAAATAGTACCTCGTTTAATATAAGTGGCCATTTGGCTGAGAGTCTGTAACCTTGCATTTATACAAGATACAAGCTGTCGTATTGAGACTGATTGTTAAGTGGAATTTGTGTAGGTATTGTAACTTTGTAGACGCACATCATGCAGTCTTCTGTTAGACTCAAGTGTATCTCTGCTTTATTCAATATATTTTTTCCGAAAACGTAAATATCAACAAATCTTGTTTTAGATACTACATAAATTTTTAACAACAGATATTCCTGTAAGACAATTAATCTTTTCTTAGGTTGTTTTGTTGTTTGTTTGAATTTTAAAAGGCAACCTTATTTTCTGTAAATGAGAATTGACCTGTTCTTCAATTATTAAGGTAATAAAAATTAGGTCTCCATTGTACACTTGGATAAAAGATAACAGGATGGGCAAAATGGAATGCTCACTCTAGCAATCCATGGTTGTAGCGGCCAGTTCTCATCTGGAGTTGGTATCTGGGAGAGCCGGGAGCGTTGTTATGAACTGGTGTAGACCAGACAACCTGAAGACTGGTTGGAGCGGCAGATGAAAGCCTTGGAGGCAGGACGCCATCTGGAGCTGTCGACAACCACAGATGAATTAGAGCAGAGAAAACTGTGGAGAACATATGCTGAAAGGAATTGAAATGCTCCATATACTGGAAAAACTGTTCCTCCGGATCAACAACAATGCTAAACATAGTCCATTTAATTTAACATTTTCCTTCCTGAACTCCTGTACTTCCTGATTGTTCATTTCAACACAATTACATTAATATTTCAGTCTTAAAAACCAGCCCCTGAACAGCAAGACAAATTAATATGCAGCACATTCCACCTGTCCTTCTGCTTACCTAATTGAAAACAGGTAGGGGATTTAGTGAAGCAAATATGAAAGTACCTTTTGAAATTAACTCTTTGTTCAACAGACCAAGCAAATTAATATTGAAATAGGCCCATTTTATTTTCTCCTCATCTGTATTAGCCATGGGCATCTTAATCATGATAGCACACATAAAGCAAAGGAAAATGGTAATTCAGAGGTAGAATTTCTCATCTTCCACTCTGGACACCCAGGTCTAATTCCCAGCCAGTGTACTCTACTACCAGAGACTAGCATGTCACTGTGAGGTTGGAGAGGTTTCAGTGGAGTGTCTAGACTAAAACAGGCTTTGAAGACAAACCTGGTGATCTGCTTCCCCCAGATACAGAATGATCTGAGTTTGTTGTGTTGAGGTGCCTTCGAGAGGACTCTATGGTAACTAACAACAACACAGAAAGCAACGTGTTCTTGTTTGCTTCTTTTTTCTTAAGGAAGGGAAGTTTGGTGAAATTGAGTATTTCTAAGAGATGAATACAGTATTGGCTAAAAATAGTACATTCCAGCCTTAATTCTCACCCACACAAATATGAAGACTATACTCCTCAAAGGAAATCTGTTGGCACAGTGGATTAAGCACTGGTCTGCTAACCAAAATGTCAATGCTTTGAGGACACAAGCTATTCCACAGAAGAAAGGTGTGGCATTTTACAGCCTTGGAAATGCTGAGGGGCAGTTCTGTTCTGTTAGTTGTTGTTGTAAAGTGCCATCGAGTCGGTTCTGACACATAGCGACCCTGTACAGGGTTTCTGAGGAGTGGCTGGTGAGCTTAAACTGATGACCTTGTTGTTCAAACCCATTTTGCAGTCTAGCGCATTAACCCTCAGTGCCACATCACTACTCTAGGATCACTAAAAGTCTGTATTGATTTGATGGCAATGGTTTGGGTATGGTTTTTGTAATATACTTTATGTATATTTAGCTGCTGGTATGGTGCTGTGGGTTAATACACTGGATTACAAGGTCAGTTTGAACTACAAGGTTGGCGGTTCAAGCTTACTAGCCACTCCTTAGAAACCCTATCAGGGTTGCTATGGGTTGGAACCGACTCGACAGCACTTAACAACAACCCAGTGTGGTGCTGTAGGTTAATGACCAATGCAAAATGGGTTGGGTCTGCAAGATTGGAGGTTCAAGCTCACTAACTGCACCTCAGAAACCCTATATAGGGTCTCTATGGGTTGGAACTGACTCAATAGCACTTCTTGCTATCATATTGTAAAATATGTTACAAATTGGGGCATATTTGTTAATTTTCCTAGTCTAGTTGAACCTCTATCCTGAATTCAGCATAACTCTTTAATACAATCGACCAAAGAAATACATTTGAAAGTTCTATAAGGGCGGTGGCTCCATACAATAAATACTGGGCTATGAACCATAGGTTGGTGGTTGAGTCCACCAACAGCTCCACAGGAAAAAGGCTTTCTGCTTCTGTGAAGATTTAAAGGTTCGGAAACCCTATACATGATCACTTGTGAGTCAGAACCGACTCCACGACACTTAAAAAACAATAGGGCTTAACAGTAATAAAATGAAACTAAACCTCATTCTAATTTTTTTTAATTAACATGATGACTGGCTATTGAATACCCTTTATAACTGGCATATCTTGAATAAATAGATAATATCAGCATTTGATCCAAAACTATTATCACAGTTTAGACACTATAAAGCATACTATTAAATTAAATAAAGTTTAAAAATTTTAGGGAAAAAAAAAATCACCTAGTCGCTCTGAAGCTGTTTCTCAACATTGTTGTTGTTGCTAAGTGCCATTGGGTTAGTTCTGAGAAGAGGATGTGGAACGAGTGATATCGTTACTGACATTAAATGGATCTTGGCTAAAACCCAAAAAACAGCAAAAAGATGTTCATCTGTGCTTTACTGACTACACAAACACTTAATTGTGTGGATCATGACAAGCTATGGACAACATTGTGAAGTATGACTATTCTCGAATACTTAATTGTGCTCATAAGGAACTGTACATAGAACAAGAGGCAGTTGTTTGAACAGAACAAGGGAATATCGAATGGTTTGAAATTACGAAGTGTGCACCAGGGCTGTATTCTTTCACCATACTTATTCAATCTGTATGCTGAGCAAATAATTTGAGAACCTAGATTACATGAAGAAAAATATGGCATTAGGATTAGAGGAAGACTCATTAACAGCCTGTGATATGCATACAATACAACTTTGCTTGCTGAAATGAAGAGGCCTTAAAATATTTACTGATGAAGATCAAAGAGCACAGCCTTCGGGATGGGTTGCATCTCAATGTAAAGAAAACAAAAATCCTCACCACTGGACCAATAAACACCATTCCTATCAATGGAGAAAAGATTGAAGTTGTCGAAGACTTCATTTTGCTCAGATCAACAACACTCATGGAAGCAACAGGCAGTCACCAAATCAAATGATGTATTGCACTGGGTCCCTGAGACGTAAGTGAAAAGAAGACTGAGAATTATAAACTGTATGTTTTTTCAAATGGAGGTGCTTGCTAACCCTACCGGGAATAGGCACAACGCAGTGGTGAGCCTGGCAGTATGATTAGAGAAGGGTGAGAAGAGAATGAGAGGGCAGTGCAGGGGTATTGTGAACACAGACATCTCTTTGAGAGATCATGTTCTAAAGGGGTGTAGAAAATGGGGCAGCAACTAGAGAAGTTCACAGTACCAAAGAGAGGTTTTCTAAAAATAGGTGATATGGTGGTATGTTTGCAAGCTTATTGTTCCAGTAGAAACAGGGTGAAGTAATAGTCTAAGAAAAGAGTGAATAATTGTCCGAGTCAAGTCCTTGTGTGGTGGAGAGGAAAGAGAACCTAGGTACCTGTGAAGTGCCCTCTGCCATCGAGTGGACTCTGGGCAGATGGCTGTCAAACAGAAAAGGGGCAGTCACCCGTTGCCCCATAGTGAATGCAGAGACTGATTCCGAAAGGTGGGTCTATTCAGTGATGGGACTATAACAAAGATCTCTTCCAGTGGTTCCTATCTTCTCAGTGAAAGGCAACATCTTAGTGTCCATGTGGGAGGGTGAACTGGGTGCTTGAAAAGAGAGGAAATGGTATGAAATACTTCTCTCAATTAGTGGAACAGTGACATGAAAAGGAAATGCAATAAAACCACTGACCAGGGAAACTTTCAATCAATAGTTAATTTTAAATCTTTGGATTATAAGACATTCATTGCTAAATACTAGGTATTAATATTTTATCTGTAAGTTCAAATAGCTTTAACAATGGTGGTTTTTATGGGATATACATCTTTAATTGATGCGCACACATATATAATTATACACATATGCACACACATAAATAATTACTGTAAATGCATAGACAGAAAGTTAAGTGCAATATGAATACAATATACAATGCTTGTGTATAAAACTAAGTCCCCTTTCTTGATTAGTTTTTGCCTGATTTATTTTCAGGAAGGAGTATTATGTCATTGACTGAGTACTTCAAATTCTGAGTGAAAATCAGTTCTGAAAAGTCATCAACATGAACAAACTTGAGTTCTTAATATGTATACAGAATTCCCTTCTTGTGTTCAAAACAGCACTGCCATGCTATTAAAGAAAAAACAAAGGAATACCCAAAAGTAGGCTCCAAAATATGAATAAAGTATTATGGATTCTTTTCTGGTACTAATGTGCCTTGGAGTTAGTTCCGACTCCTAGGGACCCTGTATAGGGTTTCCAAGGTTGTAATTCTTTATCAGAGCAGAAAGTCTCATCCTTCTCACATGGAGTGGCTGGTTGTTTTGAACTGCTGACCTTGCTGTTAGCAGCTCAACTCGTAACCCACTATGATACCAGAGCTCCTTATTCTTTTCTGAATGACCATAAGAGATGTGCTCCATTCAATTGGTCACACTTTGATGATTTAACATTGCAAAATATTTCTAATCAGAGTCATCATCTTAAATTCTTTACATGTAATTCCTCATTTTGTATGTTTTCAGCAGCATGAAATTCTAGAATCCTTTCTCTCTCCTCTGTTTAACCCCTTTTATCCTAGACCTATTCCTCAGAGGCTCCTTAGTACCAAAGCAATAACTGGAATCAGCCATAATTCCACCAGTAGTTTCTTAACAGAAGAGCTGTGTATCTATCAGCTTGATGTATTGTCTCCAACATGCTATGTTGCTCAAAAGGTTTCTCTCAAGTTTAATATGATCCTCATGGGGCGAGCACTCCACAGACAACCTCCTGAATCAACACATCTTGTCCAGTAAATACTAATTCGACACGGAAACTGAATAAAACAGCTACCCCCATCTATAAATTCCAAGGAAGGAAATGTTTAATACTATTTCAAATCTAACCTTCATTCCAAGGCAAAATTAATACAAAGCATTTAGCAATAAATTAAATCACAGACTGAACTAGTCTAGATGGTATACTTTTTTGAATGTATGGTGTTATTAAGCTTTTAAATGATGCACCCTTGTAGACTCTTCTCTACATAAAAGGAAAACAACAACAAACAAATATCATCAGAAATTGATTTATACGTGCCCCAAACCTTTGTTTCACATAGGTTGAAAGAACTCTAGTGGTGAGCTGTAAACAAAGCAAAAATAGAGACTTTTTTCCATGTGAGATAAAGTTGATGGCTACCAAGTCTGTAGTGATGAGAAGAGAAAAGTTACAGGAAAAAAATACCTTTAAATATGAGTTTATTAAGTTCT